TGGGTGTTGCGGTTCAGGGTTTAGCACTTATACGCATTCTGACCAGGGAGAAGCCTCAACCTAAGCCAGAAACTTTGAAAAAAAACACCTCATAGAAGCCTGAACTCGGAAGCCTCAGCTTGTAACGAAAATGCTCGGGGATCTTAAGCAGGCAGCCCTAAACTGGAAACCTGTTCAAAACCCTTAACCCTAAAGCCTTTGCCTAAACCCCAGACCCTAAACGCACCCTTAACACGAATCCTAATTCTATAGACTCTAGACCTGAGCTGTGAACCCTAGATAAGTCGGAACCGCTTATAACGTTTAACCCGAATATCTAAGCCTCGAACCCGGACCGGAAACGGATTAGGGGTTAGGGTTTAGGGTTTATAGCATGCACATGCACGCGCACAAGTCATAGTATCTTGACATGCTGCTGCTGTGATGATGGGATGATGACGATGACGACAAAGGACCCCTCAAATACCAAAACTGTGGGATTCGACGATTTAACCGAAGGCTGCCAATACCATCTAATTCGCCCCCCGCATGAAGCACAGGGTTTTCGCGATGTATTGAAGTACTACTCCGCACTCGCACAAGATAAAATCCTCGAGTTTTTCATGTTTCGTTCCAGTCCCAACAAAGAAACCCAGAACTGCGAACCGAAGCACAATTAAAAAAACACGCTATCGAGATTCCCTGTTTGTTTTTTAACGAGGTGTGCGACATGCTGCAAATACCAGCGAATTCGCTCCCCTGTTGCAAATTCACTATGGAACACAGGGCTTTCGTGATGTTTTCAAGCAGTAGTCCGCAGTCGCACAAGACAAAATACCGCGTTCTTGTTTGTTTTCGTGGTCCTATGCCAAAAACCTTACTTTGTAGCATCTGCGCGCATAATTCCAAGCCACAAGCACGCTTGAAGACAAAATGTTCCGAACTGTGGCATAAGTACATAATCCTCGGTATTTGCGGTGATTCCGAGCTCTTACAACTTCTTCTGTTTTACTTCCCCATGGTCTCCATCCCCCCAGAAGCACGCCAAATACGAGTCTATACTTTCGTCTCTTTTTCAACGCCCAGTAAACCTTACCCTAACCGAAGTAACCTACCGCTAAGCCCTAAACGACGTCTACAAGGACGTCATAGAAGGGAACCCGCCCTAAACCCTAAACCCTAAACCCCTAAACCCCTCAACCCCTAAACCCCTAAACCCCCAAAACCGGGATCCCTAGGACTTTTGACGTGGGAATGGACCTGGGCTCGCCCGTCTCGCTGCTCTACCAGGACCGACTGCGTGTTCGGGGGGATTTAGGGTTTTGGGTTTTGGGTTCCTTTAAAGGGTTCCTTAAAGGGATCTATAGGGTTCCTTAAAGGGGGTTTAGGGTTTTAGGGTTTGGGGTTTAGGGTTTAGGGTTTGGGATTTGGGGTTTCAGGGTTTTAGGGTTTTAGGGTTTTAGGGTTTTAGGTTTTAGGGTTTAGGGTTTAGGGTTTAGGGTGTTGGGTTTGGGGTTTAGGAGAGTTTAGGGTTTAGGGTTTCAGGGTTTAGGGTTTAGGGTTTTAGGGTTTTGGGGTGTTGGGGTTTTAGGGTTTAGGAGTTTAGGGTTTAGGGTTTTAGGGTTTGGGGTTTTGGGGCTTTAGGGTTGTAGGGCTTTAGGGCTTTAGGGTTTTAGGGTTTAGGGTTTAGGGTTTAGGTCTTACGGTGGGTCTGGTATGGGTCTGGTAGGATTATGAGATATGTACGAAGGACACAGAGGTTCTACAAGGGTTTTAGAGGGTATGCTGGTGCTTCAGGACTTTGGGTTCCGTTATGGGCCCCTTACAGGGTTCCAGGCTTTGCTGCTGTTTCGGGTTTAGGATCTCAAATTTAGGGTTCCGATACCCAGACCTTCTAATCAGTCAAGGTCCAGATTCTTTGGCTTTGTTGAGTCAGGCTTTCCAGACGAGCATCCGATACAGCTTTTGAGGTGAGAGGTATACTTGTGTTTTGACTTCTAGGGATGAGGGTTTGAGGCTTACGATGGAGGGTAGTTGGGAGGGCTGTCTTATGATTCGTAGAAAAAAAGCAGCAGTACTCTTCAACCCACAGCTAATCCTGAACTCCCAATTCCTGAGCCCTCTATCAACAACTTAGACGAACCAATCGTAACTTCGAACCTTTGCAGAACTCCTGTAAACCCTTATACTGATTCAAATCCCAAAACCCTAAACCGTGGGTTTTAGGAGCCTGTGCAGAACCCTTGTGGCACCTCACACCTCACAGGACCGCTCGCCGTTCAAGTTCAGTGGCAAGATCAACCAGCTGCACCACGGCTTGGAGTTTGTGGGGTTAGGTCTGAAAAGGTTTTTTTTTTTCGGGGTTTAGCGCTTCAAGGATTTAGGGCTGAGGGTTTTTTGCTCAGGATTCTTGAGGTTAGGGTGTTTGCGGTTTGTAGGGTGTAGGGGTCTAGGGGACCAGCCGCAGTCGGCATCAGCCTTTCTTAAAAATCCATTTGTCGTCAGGGCTTTCCGTCTTATCACGGTGGGGTTCTACAAACCCCTAAACCCTACAATGGTACGAGCCAGTTTCAGCGGCTTACCTGGCAGAGCAAAAGATTCAATCTTCACCTGGATCCTGAAAAACCTACCCTTTTAAGGACTTATATAAAGAAACCATAAGAAGGAAGCCTAGCAAGGCAGGTTCTTTGGGTCCCGGCAGGGTTTAGGGACTTCTTGATGGTATATGGCAGCCTAGGGGCTGCGATGCCCAGAATTGAGGTCATGAAGGTTCAGGGTTTCGGATTGAGGGGTTTGGGGTTCAGGTGTTTAGCTAGGGCGTAGGAGTTTCGAGTTTAGGGTTCATGGGTTTCAGGGTTTAGAGTTTAGGGTCCATGGATTCAGTATTGAGGGCCCTAAACCCCAAACCCTAAACCCTAAACCCTAAGGGTTTAGGGTTCATTGGTTTAGGGTTTAGTACAGCATTCCTGGGTTTGAGACCGTGGGGTCGCTTTCAGGTCTAGGTAGGGTGCGATCATTAAGGGTTTAGGGTTTAGGGTTTTTAAAATTAGGTTTAGGGTTTAGGGCTTTTAAAATTAGGTTTAGGGTTTAGGGTTTTTAAAGTTGGGTTTAGGGTTTAGAGTCTACTGCTTCACTTGGGTGTCGTGCCGAGAATCACTAACAGTTACTTTCTTACCCTGCCTCAGCTGCCCATCAACCCCCACACCCTGCTAATTAATTCAAAGGCATGCATAAAGCCAAAGGAAAGTTTGCCGAGGTTTCTTCTGTTTCTGTTTATGAGCCTTCGAGTACGTCAGTCATTTCCTCCTTCCCCCGTCGCAATAATCGCAGCCCGCAGCCTAAAACGCTGACAGAAGGTGTGGTGAGGGTGTATCCCAGGTAGTATTAGGGAGACCCCTTAAAGGGGACCTTTCTTAACCCTGCTTGTGGCTCTCCTAAACAGGGCCCTTATTGAGAGGGTCTATATCCCCAAGGGTCGCCCTAATCCTAACTCCTAGTGTAGAGGGTGTACGTGCGCGGTGCTTGGTGTTCCAAGGGGGCCGACCCAGGACCCTAATCATCTTTTTGGGCGCTAAGGCTCTAGGGGTTTAGGGATTTCAGTTTTTTTTTAGGGTTTACGGTTTAGGGTTTTAGGGATTAGGGTTTAGGGTTTATCCTAAAACTAAATCTTCCCGAGATCTCCGAGCCGCCCAGGCATGTCAAGTACATTAACCGCACTTCCTCTGCCATGGCCGTGGTGATCTGATCCGGCCAATTGACGGTCGAGGGTTACAGCAATGAGAAGGAAACCTTGCGGATTCCCGTAGTCAAGGTAGGTTAGTTCTGCCGATTTGAAGTCAGGATGGTGGCCTCTTCCTCGTAATTGAGCTCTGTAGGGCCGCTTTTGAGCATGCCTGTGCATGCTGTGCATTGGCCTGCAGCATCCGTTGTTTCAAGCAGTGCACATGATTTGTCCAGACAGGAAAGAGAATGCTGCAGTGTCTTCGGTCCGATCTGCATGAGTCTGTGAGCTCCACACTCGAAACCCGAACTCTCAACCACCAAACCTTGAACCACACAACAAAACTCCGAAAAGGTGGCCACACTCCCGCTTCAGCTTTCACGTGCAACGTTTTGGATGCAAGATATATGAAATCTGAGCAAATCTTACAGCTGGATTCACTCAGCTTCTTCTTGAAGTAGTACTGCAAGTTTTCTGAAGCTATGAAGCATGTAATGTATTGTAGCCTGCACCCATATACCTGCCTGGCATTGCATCTTCGGGGATGTTCATGTCAATGTCATCTGTAGCACATGTAGGAAGAAAAGGATCGCCTCATCGATCTCTGATCTGGGTTCTCGTTAAGGAGCCTAGTTTAAATTACCTTAAGACGGACACCAGACGATGTACTGCAGATCCATAAGAGCCCAGTGCTTGGTGGATCGTGTAGATGATGCTTCTTGTTGCTGGTTAGTACTGCTGCGATGTTACTGCCCCGAGGGTCGCGACTTTCAGGACCTCCGTTGCGAACAGCCTTGCCAGGGCTGCCAGGGTTTAGGGTTTAGGGTTTAGACGATTGCAAATCTGATGTTACTGTTACGGTTTCGAGTGGTATTATCTTTGTGACTAGTACTTTCAATAAACGAGAGGCCAACAGGCTAAACCCTATAAGTAAGGTTAAATGTAACGGTCTCAGCTAAAGGTAAAGGTAACATGTAGGACTCTGAGCAATTACCGTTGGGCGTTTCGTTGGGACCGGGTGTACGTCTATGCTCGAGCCCAATGTGCAAATGCAATTTGCCAGTTTGCCGAGCTTGCAAATCCGAAACCCTAACCCTAAACCCCTACAGGTTAGGGTTTAGGGGGTTTAGGGGGTTTAGGGTTTAGGGTTTAGGGTATAAACCCTAAACCCTCAACCCTCAACCTCAGGTTCTGGAGCAAGTGGATTCCACGCCGCATCAAGCACAACGCTTTCGTGCTCGGCCTGTGGGCCTGCGTGTGGCTGTTGGGCACCTACCCGCTGGGACGCCCGCTAAGCGAGGGCTGGCGCTTTATGCTCACGGTCTCCGTCTTTGCCCGCATCGGGTACTCTGCGGCCTGGATGTTCATCACCAACTTCACTCATAGCTTCTAGGCGGCTTCAGTTTGGGATTCTGTTGAGTTTCTCTTTCGGTCTTGGGGAGGATGACCCTCGGCCCGAAACCCTAAGCCGTATGCTCGGGTTACGAGTCATCTTGATGGCTTGTAACAGCGACGGAAGCCCCTAAGCCTTAAAATGCAGAATCCTTGTACTACAATCCTTGTCACGCGGTGGCTAGAATAGAGGGCAATACTATTCCGTAGGTTTCCTTGCTATCAACATACGACAGTGTATCTCAAAACCCTAGTCGAATCAACAAGGCCCGATACTACAGCCCAGGCTTGCCTTGGAACGAGTTCCTGGCACAGGATCCGGGCCGCACCTGGCCTGTGCTCCACAACATCATGGCTATGGTATTGGGAGGCCTCGGAAAAGGGTTTAGGGTTTAGAGTTTGGGGTTCAGGTTCTTTGCAATTTTTGAATCTAGCCTGTGGGACTGTTGGGTTTCATGGTTTCTACGCTCGGGGTTTGAAGTGTCGGGCTGACTTGAGCTCGCACTAACTCCGGGTTGAGGGTTTAGGCGTTCTTGGCCATTTTCTGGGAGGCTTCCGGAGTCTTACAGGTGGTGTCGTGTTTAAGGACCAGGCCTAATTAGGGAAGTTGTCGAAGCGTTTCCAGGAAAGCACCGCTGGAACGAGATGCTCTTCCACGATGCTGCTTGGCATTACTTGGGTCAGTCATCAGAAGATAGAGGACCTACCACGAGACCTTTCATTTATGCTCAGGCGATAATGGAGGAAGATACAGGCACGGCCAGTACAAGCACACAAGATCAGATTGACCCCGAAAGGTTCTGAGCTCTAAGCCTTTTGGTTCAAAACGCAAAAAATCTACAAAGGTAAAGCATCCACCGGAGGAGACGCCGT